GCAACAATATACATTAAATAGATCAATAAATCAACTGCTCTGTTGTCTCCTCTGAGGCTGGGACTCTAAATAGTGTTCTGTGCTCGTCTGTGCAGCCAAACACAGAACAGTTAGCATGCTTTGCTCAAACTTTCATCATGGCGTTAGAGCTGGTACACCGTTGTCGCTTGCGAAATCACAATGACAGCGCCGTGGGTGGAAACTTACAGATTAAGGGGCGGTGATATTATAATGAGATCCCTTTGCAACGTCACCAAGGGAGCGAAATCAGACGCGCTCGTTTTCTCAGACGCTTGCAGAAAAAGGCTTCCCAAAACAAAGTTACTGGGTTAATCTTTTTCACGTTTCCTTGGTTGGTAGATGCACCGGCCACCTGATTATAGCCCTTAAAACCTGGAAAAGTCAGATTTTCATGATATGTTTAATAATTAAATGATCATTCATTATTATGAATAATATTAATCATTATATACATTTTTGGATTATATTAATGACCATGAGATTAAAAAAAAGAGAAGGAAATAATTTTTTGTGGTAATCAACATTATGCCATAAATTAACTGCCATGAAAAATAAATAAATAAATCTTTCCCAATAACCAAACCCCAAACTTCTTGTGTTTTAGGTTGTGGTTGACCAGTCAGCCGTCTGATAATTTTCTAGTGAGTGTTTTGCAGAATGGGGTGAAGATGACGAACGAGCCTCCCAAAGGCCTGAGGGCAAATTGACTGCGTTCTTACCTCAGCGACCCCATCTCAGACCCTGCCTTCTTCAGCAGCTCCACTAAGCAGGACATCTGGCAGAAGCCGCTGTTCGGCCTTTGTTTCTTCCACGCTCTGCTCCAGGAGAGGAGAACATCCGGCCCGCTCGGTCAGATATTAATCTGTAATGTAGTTTGCGGTCCTGTCTGTCATCCTTTATTTGATTCAGCCTCTATCTGGCTAATGTGACACTCTGGTGTACTATCAGCAATCTACCCGATCTAATCTTTTCTAAACAAACATTACAGTACCATAAATAAAAGGGCAGTTTAATAGGCTGAGGAAGTTATAGGAAGTTCATAGATTGATTCTCCTGAAAACTATAAGCACTATTATAAAAGCAAGATTGTCTAATATAACTAATTTCTATTAATATACACTGATAATCTGGGAATTATAAGGAAGAGTGATCATCAATATCCAACAATTGTATAAAGCATGCACATCCGAAAATAACAAAAATTAAAAAATTTAAAAAAAGTCATAATTTTTTTTTAAACATCAAAACACGGTTGCTCCCAAAAACATTTAATAATCTTACCAGATGTTTCAAGCTACAAGCTCTTCTTTAGAATGTTTTGGTGAGATTATTAAATGTTTATGGAATTGCTGATTGTTTTGTATTTTTTCTAAGACTCATAATCAAAAGCTGAATTTCCCGTCTGAGATGAGTTCAGTAGTTTTTATTGTGACATAAAGCAATCTCTCTCTGCAGGTTGGAATATTCCATACGAGTTTAATGAATCTGACCTGAGAATCAGCATTCGGCAGATTCAGATGTTCCCCTGGAGGCCCTCACATACCTGACAGGTGAGCACAAGGAGATGAAGCAAGCAACCACCCAGAAAACCCTAGAAACCACACAGCAATGAGCTAACAGCCACTCTTCTCCTTAATAACCACATAGTGTTCAAATCGAGTTCTTTTAACATTTTTGTAGACAAACATCACTGTCTTCACCCCTTCTGTACTCATGATCTCTGTAGGAGAGTGTAATTATGGTGGGAGGGTGACCATCTTCTACAGCTGGGAGCTCATTGAACAGGACCAGTATCATGTGTGTGAGGGAGATCTGTACTGCGTGCCATCACACGGTCCATACCAGGTACACACAAACACTCTGTACTTGTATTTATTAATTAAAAGAGAAAGATTTGACATTGACAAACTAGATGGATTCCACTGATGTTTAAATTACAATACTGTCATTTACTCACCCTCATGTTGTTCAAAACCTGTATGACTTGTGACCTCTTTCTTCTGTGAAGATGTTTAGCAGAATTTTTTTTAAGACAGTGACTGGGACTGTTAAGGCTAAAAAAGGACCAAAAGTGCCATAAAAGTATCTTTTGCTACTAAAAGTTTTCTGAAGTCATATGATTCATGTATTTATGTCCTTTATATATATATGCATATGCATTTTTTCATGCATTCATTTATTTCATTTTATATATTTCTAATGCATTTATTTATGCATTTATGTATTTAATTTACTGACACTAAGCTTTAACTGGTAAGGGCAACATGAGTTGTACATTTTACAGTTTGAATTGAATGTTTATCGGTTTTTGTTTTAAAATTATGCCCAAAACAAGCCCAAATTTCATTGTTGTTCACTGAAAATCTTGCTCTCTGATGTAGCTCGCAAATCTCATCCACACTTACATTCAAGTCAAAACATGAAAATGCTTTGAATCGTGATCCATCATGAGACATACGAGAACCATGAAGTTTGATTTTGATGCGTATTGAGGCATCAGATTTTCAGTGCATAATCTCTTTTGTATGTAGAGTTACGTGGACTACATCCGCAACCTGCCCATCACTGCTGAACCTGAGGTTTTCGGCCTCCACAGCAACGCTAATATCACCAAAGACAACCAGGAGACCAATCAGCTGTTAGACGGAGTGCTGCTGACTCTGCCGAGTCTGCAAGTACACCATCCCCATCGACTGCATCGGCTTTGAGTTTGAGGTTTGTGTGCTAATGAGAGCATACAGAAACTGAGAAAGGTGCAGCATTCACAGAATGATCTGTGCTCAGAAAAAAAGAAAGAAAAAAAGAGGTTTCCCAAACATTATCATCTTAAACAAAACAACAACAAAAAACAGCAGACTGGTATGGTTACACTTACACTACCTTCAAAAGTTTGGGGTTGGTAAGATTTTTAAAATGTTTTTGAAAGAAGTCTCGTATGCTCACCAAGGCTGCATTTATTTGGCCAAAGATACAACAGTAAAACAGTAATATTGTCTATATTCTATATGAATCTATTGTAAAATGTAATTTATTCCTGTGATCAAATCAGCATCATTACTCCAGTCTTCAGTGTCACATGATCTTCAGAAATCATTCTAATATGCTTAATATGCTAAACATCTCTGATTATGATCAATGTTGAAAACAGTTGTGCTGCCCAATATTTTTGTGGAAATTGTGATACATTTTATTTTTCCGATTTCTTTGATAAAGAGAAAGTTCGAAAGAACAGCATTTATTTGAAATAGGAATCTTTTGTGACATTATAAATGTCTTTACTGTCACTTTTGATCAATTTAACACATACTTGCTTAATAAAAGTATTCTTTTATTTTATGTAGATCATAATGTGCATTTCTTTTAGGTCTGTAAGCAGGAATCTCATATGGAGCAGAAGCCAGAGGACGGTGCGTAAGTCTGTGGGCTTTTCCTCGAGGGAGCGCGCTGGGATCGAGAGCACATGGTTATCGGTGAGTCTGTTCCTAAAGTTCTCTTCGACTCCGCTGCCCATAATCTGGCTGAAGCCCGGAGAGAGCGCCAGCTTCCTTCACCAGAGCGTTTACGTCTGTCCCGTGTACAAGACCAGTGCCAGGAGTGGGACTCTTTCCACCACTGGTCACAAACTATGTGCTGTCCATCGAGCTGCCCTCGGACAAACCGCAAAACCACTGGATCAATCACGGGGTCGCCTGCCTGTGCCAACTAGACAACTGAGGATATCAGTTTGCATTTATGTGTTTACATTAAAAAAAAACGGATAAAATACAAAACTACAGCGCTATCGTTGTTAAAGGGTTAGTTCACCCAAAAACGAAAATTCTGTCATTGTGAACTAACCCTTTACGTTTAATATAAATGAATAGAATAATAAAACAAATATGCATGTTAAAATAACTTCTATGCCAATTAAATGTGCAGAGACAAACCATTTGTAGGTGTAAATTCAAAAAGTGAAATGAATGGCATGAAAAACAATAAACTTTAATTGAAATACAGGTAGATACTTTGAATGCAACATTAACGGAGACCTTTATACAATGGAGTATATGACATATATAATAAATACACCTTTAACATCAATCACATTAAAGGGACAGTTCACCCAAAAATTTTAATTCTGTCATCATTTACTCGTCCTCATGTTGTTCCAAACCTATATGACTGTCTGGTCTGGGGATCAACAGCTCTTTGGTTAGCCACATTCCTCAAAATAACAGAAGAAAGAAACTCATACAGGTTTGGAACAACATGAGAGTAAATGATGAACTGTCTCTTTAACATTCATCATGCTTTACACTGGCAGTGAGAGTAACTTCACTATGATCAGTTTCATAATGCTGTCATTTTAGCTAGAAATAACATGACTTTATAATGTTCCTGGGTGTTTTTGAACACTTTAAGATCAGTGCAGTGGCGTCTGTACAGTCTGTGTGTGTCAGGTCTCATCGTGAGACTGCAGGTACACCGGTTTGGCTTGTTTCCTCAGTCTCTGCTGAGCTCGCAGCTTTCGGCCTTTCTGAGTGGCCAGACCCATGGGAGGAAGATATGTCTGAGAGAGAAGATATATATGACATATCTCTGTGTGAATCTCACGGAAACTGTCAACAACATGTCATATTTCACCCCAAATTCAAAAGAACAGACAACAAAGCCTTTTTAGGATCATTAAGACCTTCGGAATAAACTATTACTTTCATTAAAGTTAAAAACACACCAATGGAAGCTTGTTTCTGCCATGGAAGAAAAAAAAAAAAAAAAGGTAGTTGGCAAACTGAATTTCACTATTCAGATTTTTTTCCCCTCTCAACTGTGAGTTTATATCTTGCAATTCTGACTTTTATTTCTGAATTCTAAGTTTACATCTCTCAATTCTGTTTCCACCATGGAATTTTAAAAAAAATGCAATTTTTCTCTCTTTTCTCTCAATTGTGAGTTCTCACTATTCTGTATTTTTGTTTTCAGAATTCCGAGTTTATATCTCAATTCTAAGTTTATTCTGAGCAATTTTCTCAGAATTGTGAGAAATACGACATTTCTTTATGAGATTGTGTTATATTTACAAATATAGTAATATTATTAATAGTGCTTATGATGATATATACACTCTAAAAAATGCTGGGTTAAAACAACCCAATAGCTGGGTTTGTCCCTTTTTAACCCAGCGCTGGGTTCTATTTAACCCAGCATTTTTTTAGAGTGTAGAGATACTTACTGGTCTAGGATAAGGGTTCCTATAATGCAGTCCTGACATGAAAAACAGAAAACAACCATTTTTAGCAGCTCACCTGCTAGCTGATAAAACCAAACACCTGCAAATGTCTCAAAAAGGACATTAATGTCTCAGCTCAAAAATGACAGTAACTATTTGATCAAAGATGCACACCTATCTCTATCCGAGCTTCACACTCTTCAATGCATCTCTTGATTGATTCTGGCTCTGTTATCTATACCAGAGAGAAGACATAAGAAAATGTGATTGATATGAGATCTATAGCAGCTCATCAGGTGATCTGGGGTCAGTCCACACGTGCTGGTTCTGTCTGAAAAGGGTTCGAGCCTCCTGAGCGATATATTTCCTCTCAGTGTCAGTGTCATGTGGAAGAGCAGACTGCGCTTTCCAGCTGCGTGCGATGCGCAGGACCCTCCTGTAGAGAGAAAGCACATCTGAACGAGACATCTGGACCACCTGTGAACACCAAACACAACAATAGAGTGTATAAATATGAATCTGACATTCTGTAATGACAGTACATTGACAACTGCATTATTTCACCTTTGATCAGCTCTCTAGAATTCCGAAAGGAATTTTATATTTTCCTTAAATTCATGTTTACCCTTTCTCCTAATTTGTAATGCTTGTGATTATTTAGATGGAAAATGTATTAAATTAGAAAAGAATGCTAAACAAAATGCATATACAATGAATAATAATAATAATTATATATATTATATATACACACACTGAAAAATGATTAAACAATTATGCAGCATAAATGTGTCTGTGTATATATATATATATATACACACACACACACATAATAATATACAAAACGATTATTTCAACAATTATGCAGCATGATTAACAATGAAAGGTAATGTATATTTATATGTATATATATATAATATGACTATTTTAATATTATTTTTAATCGTTAATTATCTTCCTGCATAATTATGTTGAAATAATCGTTATTATTCAGTATAAAACACAACATATACAAAAAATGTGATACAAACAGAAATCTGAAACATTGTGTGACCTCTGTGTTACTGGATATCTGTCAATAAGAGATTCGCAAGGTTTGCAATATATCTGACATACATTATAATTAATACATATTACCTGTGCGTGATTAGATCAATACAAGCTTATATGTGAGCATCCTCGCACTTCCGCACTCCGGCGTCCACGTGCTCGCGAGTGAAGACGTTTTGTTTCGAACTAGTCCTTAACGCTCTCACGTTGCGCAGTCAGAGATCCGCGGGCTGTTTGGTGCGGCTATTTCTGCGTTGGCTTTTGCGCAGACCTTCTCGAACCCAAACAAAAAGAGAAACTGCGATCAATCAGCAGCCGATCCGCGTCTGTATGGTTCCGTGCGGCCGTATCGAGTCCATCACGATCATCTCAGACCCCCAGCAGCGATCCAGAGGAGTGTGAGAGCCGGTAAAGGCGGAGGTTTTACCGGAGCCGCTCCGGATCAGCGCAGGTTCGGTTCGGGTTCGGGTCTGTAGGAAGTGATGCGGGGGAATTGTCAACCATGATCATCTACTGACCCAAAGAGCATCAGAAGCACACAAAGAGAAGCTCTTCTCCTGCGTAACGTTACACACAGAGATTCAGAACCGATCCGGTTCGGCTGGAGGCTGGGATTAGCTTTAGCTTTAGCATGACAGCAGGGATGCGCTGATTCCGATCCATTTCATTGTCTTTCCACAGGTAAATCAACACAAAACACCTTCACTTCAACACTTCTGCTGCCTTTCTGTCCAGAATCCACACATTTTAGAGTTGAAATGAAGTTTGGTGTGTAGAAATTAACCTCCCTCATCTGAAGCTAACCAGCTAAGCTGCTAACATGAGATCAGCTCTTTAAAAGACTTTAACTGTCACATTCACGGTTTCATTACTCGCATACATTCACATATTAATATACCAGAACTATCAGTATAATTCCAGAGCTTAGTTATTTAGGACATTTGGTGTTTTTGCTTTATAGACGGACAGTTAATCGTAATTTAAAGGAGAAGTTTCTCATTTATACTGATAGAGACTCTTGGCTGTGTCTCAAATCTAGTGAGCTGCTTACATAGACAGCATTATCGGAGTCACATGCCTAAAAATTGCTGCATATATGAAATAGATGGCCTAAAAACGGTGTATGTATAATTTAGATGCTCATATAGACGGACAGTTAATCGTAATTTAAAGGAGAAGTTTCTCATTTATACCGATAGAAACTCTTGGCTGTGTCTCAAATCTAGTGAGCTGCTTACATAGACAGCATTATCGGAGTCACATGCCTAAAAATTGCTGCATATATGAAATAGATGGCCTAAAAACGGTGTATGTATAATTTAGATGCTCAAAATTCCACATTTGCTTGTGATGCCCAAAAATGCTGATTAGATAAGACAGCATCTGTGCAAGCAATAATATAATAACAGAGATTGTGACATTAAATATCATAAAAAGTTATTCTCACTCACAAAGAAGTACCATGGTGTTACTATGTTTTACAGTGGTTTAACCATGGTATTTTTTGAAGTATGTGCATGTGGTGCTACGGGGGTCTGTGGAAAAGTTTAGAGAAAAACTGTAAAAAAAAAAAAAAAAATTATAATAAATATAATTTTTATTGTAATTGTTGTAGTGTAATTTGTAATAAATAAATAATAAAAAATACGATTAAAATGAATTGAAGATTAGATTTAAAAAAATGTAATTAAAATAAATAAAAAATAATAAACCAATAAAATTAGATATAAATAAAATTTAAAAAAATTTTATTGAAAATTAAATACAAAATACATTTTACAGTACAGCACTATAATGAGTAAGGGAAAAAACATATAAAATACAGCTTAATAGAAACTAGATTTTTTAAAAAACATATTTATATTGTTATTTTTTAATAGTATAAACTGTCTCACTTTAATAAACCTTGCAAGAATGATCATATTTAGGGGATCATTTTTGGTATTAGTATGTTTTTGGATAGGTTATTGATGTTCCGTGGTATTCTTATTAGAGCTTTGGAGCGCATGTAAATGAAACCATGGTAAATGAATATGAAAATCATATAGTGCTATTATATATCATGCAGTACATCAATAAATATCAAATTACTATATTACGAACATTTTTTGTATGTAATAGCTAGTTTTCAGCATCCATTGAAGTTTTCTCATCAAACATCCTGTTGTATTCGTAAATGCAGCACATGATGAAAGTAAATTAGGTGTTGATTATTGACCTACAAACGTAAATTTGTTCTCGCTCTTGACCTTTGACCCCAGATGCTGGCCACATCTCCATCAGGTGTGTGTTTCTATGACGATGACCCCAGTCAGGTTATATGTCATTTAATCGTGGCATCGGTCACACCAGCAATCCAACACCTCTAATGTAACCCAGCTCCCATTTACCCTGTTTTATTTAGATTACCTCGTGGGTATTAGTTAGTTAGTTAGTTAGCTAGTTAGAGCGTGAGGAAACAGTTTCCAGTCTTGTGGTTGGGTGTGTGAAAGTGTGTCGGTGGATTGAGGTGTTGTGTAGATGCTTCAGATTGTGGTGTGTGCCGTATTATTTTCTAACGGCTCTTTCTCTTTTGCTTGGGCTCAGGCTAGCGGATGTACCAGCCGTCTCCATGGAGTTTCCTCAGATGACACGTCGCTTCAGTGCTCGGGGATTTGGGTGAGTCAGTGCGTCCCGTACTACTGCACAACACGTGTGTGTCCTGATCCATGGTGATGCAGTGGCTCTGATCCCGGCTGAGTCCTCATGATAAAGCCCATCATTCTGCTGCTGGATGCTGATTGGTCGATACAGCGTTCCGGTTTATATCATTGCACAGCATCCATAGAGACCAAGTGTTAAGGGTAACTTACATGTCACCACTAGATATGCTAGGATAAGGGTGACACTTTTTTTTTTTAAATTATTATTATTATGGAGCAACAGCTCAAGGCAGCTGCATGTTAAGTATAACAATGTCATTAATCTGTGATATATATATATATATATATACACACACACACACACACACTATAAAATAAATAAATAAATAAATACAATTATAATTAATAATTATTAATATAAATAGTCTACTTTATAATTTTGTTAGTATTCTCTCTTAAAATGTTCTGCTTATTTATTATTTACATTGCTTATATATATTTACATTCTATATAAAATATTTATATATTTATAATTTTTATATATAATAAAATTAATATAATGATACATAAAAATTTTAATTATAATTATTAATATGAGGTAAATGTTCTACTTTATAATTTTGTAAATATC